TTGAATGTCTAAAACGCACTTCAAGCGTATCAAGCCCCAAACCGAACTCCTGAGTTTCACCCATAACAACAAAACAATAATCATGATAAAATAAATTTTAAAACTGCTCCTTGTCCAGCTGTCCCCATCTGAGTCACTGGCTACTCCATTATTCCAGTAGCTTCTGCCAAAAGCCTTGGAGTCATTCTTGACTTCACTCTTTATCTCACACCCCACATCCAATCCATCAGCAAATTCTGCCAGCTCTACCTTAAAATAGATCCAGAAGCTGACCGTTCTCACCACCTTCATTGTTAACAACCTGGTCCAACCACCACCATCTCTCACCTGGCTTATTGCAGCAGCCTCCTCACTGATCTGCCTGCTTCTGCCCTTGCCCCCTACAGACTGCTCTCAGTTATGGTGTTAAAACATAAATCAGATTGTAACACTTTTCCTCTCAAAATTCCCTTGACTTCTCGTCTTAGACTGAGTAAAATAGCTCATAAGACCCAATGTGATCTGGCCTCTTGTTACCCCTCTACCTTCTGCTACCACTCCCCCTGCACTCTCTACCAGCCACACTGGCCTGCTGGCTGTTCTTTGAAGGTACCAGGCATGTCCCCACCTCAGGGCCTTTGCACATGCTTGGAACATCCTTGCCCCTGATATCTGTCTGGCTTATCCTCTCCCTTCTTTCAAGGGTCTGTTCAAATGTCTGACCTTGGTGAGGCCTCCCCTGACGAACTGAGATAAAACAGCTCCCCATCTTCTTGATCCTTCCTGTCCCCCTCACCCTGCATCCTTTCTCCCATAGGACTTATCACTAACTGATAGATTATAAATCTACCTATTTGCTTATTGTCTATCTCCTCACCCTAGAATGGAAGCTCCAAAGGTATGGGAGCCTTGTCTTTTTTGCTCCATGCTGTATATCCAGCATCTTGAGTGGTGCTGGCATACAATAGGTGCTCAATGGGTAGTTCTTGAATGACCCTAGACTCATTGCTTTTAACTATCTACTTGTAGGTCTCCCCCAAAAAACAGTGGACAGTAACTGGTCCAATGCCCCGCTGTTTTTCCTGTGTCCAGCACAACTTGCCCAGAGTGGGTGCTCATTAAATGTTTGAATGAATAAATAATAGAGTTTCCAGATGGGTTGCCTGGGGTGGTATGGGGGAGGGAGGATAAGATAAATAAAATTATCTCCTGGAGCCTCTCATTCCTGTGGCCCTTCTTGCCTCTCCCCTAAGCACTTGGGGTCACACTGGAGGGAAGGGAGGTTGAAAAACTGAGCCAAAGAATCTGCAGAGGCCAGAGAGACAAGGATCAGACTTTAAGAGCTGGTGCTGGAAGGATCTGGAAGTGTAGGATTCCTATTGGGCTTTATGTTTGGGGCTAACCTTTGGATTTAGAATTCTGTTTAAGGTTAAGGAAACTGAGGTTTTGAAACAGGTTAAGGGTTTAGGGATAGGGCTTGGATTAAGGTTTTGGGTTTGGGTATAGGTTGAAATTTTGGGTTTAAGATTAAGATTCAGGGTTTCTGGTTAGAGGTGAGAGCTTGGGAGATGGGCCTGAGGTTTGGGGTCAAAGGATGTTGAGAATAGGTCAAGGGATTAGACTTTGGTGGGAAAATGAGATAAAGTTGAGGGTGGCATCAGGGGCCAGACTTGAGGACATTCCTTAGGTTGTAAAAGTTTCTACTCCAGGAAACTAGAGGACAGAAACGCATTTTCTAACCAAGCTCTAGCGCCATCGATCTCACTCAGGGATGATTTTGTTACCCGTGGGGCATTTGGCAATGTCTAGACACGTTTTCTGTTGTCACCGCTTGGGGCGTGGGGTGCTATTGGCATCGAGTGAGTAGAGGCCAGGGATGCTGCTAAACATCTTACAATGCCCAGGACAGGTCCTCACAACAAAGAATAATCCAACCCAAAATGCCAATAGTGCCGAGGCTGGAAACCCAGTGCTAGAGAATTTACCTCTTCCCTGGAGGGTTAGCCAAGGGTTAATCCAAGGGGAACAGGAGTCAGGATATGAGTGTTTGGGGCAGAGGGCTGGTGTGATGGGGCCTGAGTTAGAGTGTGGGGCAGGATGGGGCAGGTGCCCACATGCCCCTGACCCACGGATTCAGCTTTGCACAGCTGCCTCTGGCTCTGGCAGACCAAGAGCAAAGGAGGGGGGCGAGGGAGGAGATGGGGAGGGAGAGGGAGGAGAGGGCCAGCCCAGTCTGTCAGGAGATCCAAGAAGCTACAGACAAACAGGGTAGGAGCTGGCGAGAGCGAGACCGACAGCCTTGGCAGGGTCCCTGAGGTCCCAAGCTGGGTCCGTGGGAGGCCTGGGAGGTCAGAGAGCTGTAGAGAGATGGCGGCATCCGGAGAGGCCAGTGTCTGAGGCACCCTCTGCCAAGTGTATGAAACAGAATTCATATAGTAAAAGCTAACACTCGTATAGCACTTACACTGTGTCAGCCGCGGGTCTCAGTACTTCCCATCTGTGAACTCATTAATCTTCCCACCAAGCCTATGCGGTAGGTATTATTGGAATCCCCATTTTACAGATGAGAAATTGAGGCCCAGAGAGGCTAAGTAAGTTTTGCAAGAGCTCATAGCTCTGAGCGGCAGAGCTGGCTGCAGAATCTGTGCTTCTGCTTGTGGTCAAGGAGGTCAAGGTGAAGGTCCCCGGATTTCCTATGCTGCTTGTCTTCCTCTACCATCTACATATGTAAAATCATCACAGCCTCTCCGCAGTCTCCAGACATAGGTGCGGTTATTACTGCCGTGTTCCACTGATGAAGCAGCCAAGGCTCAGAGAGGTTAAGTACCTCTTAACATAGCCAGGTCTGCCCAACATCAGTCCACTCTTCTTCTCCACATTACAGCCTGGAGCGCACAGCCCTCCGTGCTCACCCCCACGACCTCATTCGATCTTCACAAACAAGGCCTCAGGCTGCAGGATCCCTCGGCCTTGGCACTATTGACATTTGGGGTCAGATAATCCTTTGTTGTGGGGGCCTGTCCTGTGAGTTGCAGGATATTTAGCAGGATCCCTGGTCTCTACCCACTAGATGCCAGTAGCATCTCCCCTCCCCAGGTGTGACAACCAAAAATGTCTCCAGACATTGCCAAGTGTCTCCTGGGGGAGCGGGGTGGGGATTGTCCCTGGTTGAGAACCACTGCCAAGAGGGTTGGCAAGAAGGATAATCCTTATACAGATGATCATGGACAATCAGGCCTGGCTAGGGGTGGTATCTTGCCCAAGGTCACACAAAGTCAGTGGCAGGGCTGCAAGCAGGACTAAGGTCCTCTCCAACCAAGAGGAAGGCCTTGCTGCCGAGCTTTCCTGCTGAAGTTGTGCTCCCATGGGTAGGTGTTGAGTGCCAACAATGTGACGGGGCTGGCCCAACCCCCCCTCCAACATGTACAGGTCCCAGCCCCCCTCACTGGGACAGACTGTCCTTGCCTGAGCCCTCTGCTCTCCAGCTGAGCTGAAATGGGGCTCACCCTGCTCCCAGCTGTGGTGCCGAGAAAATAGTCTAGAGTTTGATGTCAGACAGACCAGATTTCAAATCCCAGCTCTGCAACATCCTTGTTGTGGGACCCCAGGCATAGCACTTAAGATTTCTGACCTTCTGTTTCCTCATCTGAAAAATGGGCAGTTTGGACAAGCGCATCTCAAAGACCCAACTAACTCTGATATTTTAATTTTCTGACAAAGTAAGGTATTTTGTAAGTAAGGTCCCAGACGTACACCCAACTCAAAGTAATACTTTGGGCAAGTCACTGCCCCTCTCTGGAACCCAGTTTCGACTGCCATTCACCTCTAGGCAGCCAACACCTAAGCCACACAGAACTTCTCACTGTTCTCTAAACCATAACCACTTCCTTGCCTTTGCTTATGCATGTCCCACTGAAATGCTGTTCTCCCTATTATCCACCTGGCGAACTCTTATTCATCCTTCAAGACTGAGCCCAAGCCATTTGTTCCATGTCTTTCTTATTCATGCAGGTGGAGTTACTCACTCCCTCCTCTGTTTTCCTTTAGTACCTATCACCCTCTCAGAAAGCACTGACCACTGTATCTGTGTTTTCCCCACTAGACTGAGAGTCCTGGAAGACAGGGACCGAGTCTCTCTAATCCTGCTACCTGGTGGCCCATACAGCGCATGAACAGAATAAAAACCAAAAACCAAAGCCATTGCTGTCGAGCTGATTCCAACTCATAGCAACCCTATAGGACAGAGTAGAACCGCCCCTGAGGGTTTCCAAGGAGCAGCTGGTGGATTTGAACTGCTGACCTTCTGGTTAGCAGCTGAATTCTTAACCACTGCACCACCAGGGCTCCCTGAACAGAATAGGTGCTTAATAAAGGTTGAGTAAATAAGAATGAATGAATGGGGGGTAGGGGTGGGGGAGAATAGATGGTTGCCAAGAGCCTTAGCATTTCCAACACTCTCAAATTCAGGGAAGTAAGCCAGCCTCTTGCTGTTACCCAGTCTCACATCCAGAGGACTTCCCCACCCCCAGTCCCAGCAAGTGCCTGCCGCCCCAGCCACCCACACAGTCTGCTGGACCCAGCAAGTACCTTGGACAGCGACCAGACATTTATTAAAAAAAATGCTTTTATCCTACATAGAGCTGCCACTACTGGGAGCCGTCTGTGCAGACCTGTATCCTGGCGTGTGCACGGAGGAAGAAGAGGCCTTGCTTCTTCCATTTTCCAACCCACCCCGGGCTCTGCAGAGGACTGGGCAGGGCCTGCCTTCTTCACATTCATGCCTCTGAATATGCCACCTCCACCCCAAGCTTTCAGTCCGTATTTCCCCTCTTCACACCACACCCTGCCTCACATCTGAAGCCATGCTGATCCTAAGCTTTGTGGCAATCTCTGGGCATTGGGCTCTGCTGTGTTGCCCTCCATGTCTTTGCTCAGGCTCTTCCCATCGCCTGGGACACCCTTCCCGCATTGTTTGGCGGATGGGGGAGAGGCAGTACTTTAGAATTCCCTCCCTCACACACCTTCTCCAGGAATCCCTTCTCCTCTTCTTCTAAGCTCATGTACCCAAATTGTCCTCAACCCCCTTTTCCAGGAAGTCCTCCAACTGAAGGGACTAGGTCTCAGTTCCTGGTTTGGGGGGTCAGGTAGAGGGAGGGAGGTGTCCTGGGCTCTTTGAGATCTGCCCATTGAACAGGTATTTTCTGAGTAGTTCTAAAAGCACCTATATTATGCTTGACTTCTCAGGACCTCAGTTTATTCATCTGTAAGTGGGGGAAGGGGTGGGAAGGGGTTCAGACAAGATCAAGTGCCTAGAAGGCGACAACTCTATGGTTTTAGTTCAGCCTCTCAATGCAACACATCAATTCCAACTTGGACCAGCCACTTTAAAGAAAATGGAACTGCATGTCCTAGTCAGCTGCTGCTTTGCTGTGTGACCCTGGCAAATCCCTTCCCTCCTCTGGGCCTCCGGTTGCAAAATGAGGGGGTTTCTGGTCTCTAAGTTCTGGTTCACCCCTGGAGGCCTGAGTTTCTAGGATTCTATGGTGCTGTTGGGAGGCCATGCCACCGAGGAAGGGGCTGGAACCTCAGGGAGGAGGTGGGAGGTACCAGAGTTCCCAGGGGTGGGCAGGGGGTTGTGGAAAGAGGAGGATCTGTCCTAGCCAGGATGTGAAAGACAAGTAACAGCTCAATTGTTATTTCAATTACACGGATTATTTGAAAACAATATTATGAGTTTCATCACTGACAACCCCGGGAAATGGCTGCCATGGCAACCAGGGAAAAGAATGGCCCTGACCAGCCAATCAGAAGTTCTAGCCGTGGCCCCAGTTTGTACCAACTCTCTCCTCCATGGTGGCTCCTCCCATCCTCTGCCTGGGGAAGGGGCCTGGGAGGAAGAGGGAGAAGAGAGGGGCAAATGGAAGGACCACTCTACAGAAGAGAAGAGGGCTAATGAAGAAACTGAGGCCCAAGGAGAAGAGCGATTCCTGGAATTGGCTGTTTATCCCAAAGTCTTCAACGGCAAGGACCATGTCTGGTTCACTGTACCCTCCACAGGTCAGCATAGAACAGGTGCTCAGTAACAGGTGTACTTCTGGACCTGGCTGCGATTGAGGAGGGAATTCTCTGAGACTCCCTGACAATGTGTCTTGGTCCTGCTCCACCAAGGGGACACAGCAGCCAGCCTCACCTGTTTTTTCAAGAAGAAAATTTATTGAAAACTATGTACTATCACAGTCTGTGACCTGGGCTGGTCCCCCCCACACCTCAGGCAGCACCTCAGCCCCTGATGGTAGCTAGCATCTGAGGTTGGGGCAGGGCCCAGACTCCCTTGGGAAGCTTGGCAGCCAGACCCCACCAAGGATCTTTGTCTGTGAGGTGGTAGACAGTGGACGGGGAACGGATCCCTGCTCTGCTGACAGGGAGAGAGGGGCCCTTCCAGGAGACTCCACTGGGCCAGAGAACGGGCAGGTGAGACCTGTGTGGGTCAGGGGGCGTCTCTTAGAGCCCTGGATTCCTTTTCCTGCTGCCCTCTGCAGATCCTGCCTCTGCAGCCCATGTCCTGAGCCCAATTTCTCCATCTGAGGAACCCCTGGGCTCCAGACAAAGCCTTTTAACTTTAGGAACATCCAGCCCTCCGCTTCTTCAGAAAGAGGCCAATTCGATGGGACGCTGGCTGGGCTCTGTGGCTTCCCAACTTCTAGTTCTGATAGCCAATTTCCTGTCCTGCTTGAGCTCCCCTGCTGTCCATCCCAATGTCACTGAGTGCCTCATCAGTGTTACTTAACAAACCCTTACATAGGGCTCCCCAAGTGCCAGGCACTGTGCTAAACATTTACAAGCATTAGCTCATTAAATCTTCACAAGGAACTGCGATTACCATCCCCATTTTCCAGATGGAGAAACTGAGGTGGTTAGGTAACTTGTGCAAGGTCAAGCAACTAGGGAGGGACAGCACAGGGATTTGAACCCAGGCAGTCTGGCTCCAGAGGCCAAGCTCTTAACGGCTATACTAATTCCTCCCAACGGAAGAGGGATGGGTTGAGTCTTCTCTAATGGCCAAAAGATCAGCCTAAACTTCAACTTTTATTGCCTCATCTTCTTATATCAGGAATCCCCCCACCAAGTGCTTGCCCTGGAACACACGTTGCTGTTGCGTGCCTTCAAGTCAATTCCCACTCACAGTGACACTACAGGACAGAGCAGAACTGCCCCATAGGGTTACCAAGGAGTGGCTGGTGGATTCGAACTGCCGACCTTTTGGTTAGCAGCCTGAGCTCTCAACCACTTCACCACCAGGGCTCCTTTTATATCTTAGGAGAATGGTGGGCAGACATGTATAGAGCAGGCAGCTGGAGATTCGGCTGGTAAATGGTTATTCATAAGTAAACGCGGGCCCTCACAGGCCAAAGTTTTCTGGCTGTAAGGCAGGGAGGAGTGCCTGCATTAATCTGGTGCCTACCATGAGCAGGGCACTGTGTGCCCATTACCTTACTCATACCCAGCAACGACCTGGCAAGGGAGGTCTTAACTGTCCCCATTTTACAGATGAGGAAACTGAGGCTCAGAAAGTTGAAGAGACTTGCCTGAGGCCACCTAGCCAATATGTATGAAAGTGAGGATTGGTACTCAGCTCTGTCTGCTTCCCACATTAGTACAAGCATGGTTCCTGTCCTCAAGGGATGAGTCAGGGAGCCATGATGGGCCACAATGGCTCATGGCGGGCTGAAAGGGGGTGCTCAGACTACGGTGGGTGTTAAGAGCACCGACCAGGTGAGCAAAGGTCAGCAGGTGGAAGTGGACCCCAGAGCAAGGGCTAAGCTGAAGCAGGTACGTATCAGGGCTCAGCAGGTGACCACAACAGATGATGAGATGGGGCCTCAAACGCCCAGCAGATGGTTTGGAGCTGATGGGCGAGGCCACGAGGAGCCATTGCTGGCTTAGGAGCTTCTTTCTCTCCCTCCCGAGGCGGCCTCCTTCTCACCAGTGAGCAATTTCCTAAAGCATTTTCTCTAATTTGTGATTGTTTTTCTATTCCGGAAGCAGCAAGTCTCCAGCTTCTCCCAGCCCACGAGCCGAGCTGGGCTGCGCTGCCAAGGCCACAGGTCTCTGTCCCCAGCCTGGCCCACTGGGGGACCTCCGAGTCCCTCTGTCTCAGGAGCCCCCTGGGGTTCTGGGCAGGCTGTGAAGAGGGTCCCGTAGGCCCAAATCTGGGAGTTCCTTTCCCACCCTGAGCTAAACGAGTTGATGCGGAGGCCCAAGGGGTGGCTTTAGAGCAGGAGCTGGGAGCCACCACCCACTGGCTGTGCCTGAAGGGCTGGCGAGGCTGGGGCCCTGGGCTCTGGGAGGGGGAGGAGGGCTCCCCGAGGAACAGGGGCTCAGAAAGAGAATAGGGCCTCTGGAAGGGGCAGGCATGACAGAAAGTGGCCAGAGGCTCAGCGAGGAGTGATGGGCTCCAGGGAGGATGGGGGCTCAGTGGAAAGATCTGTGTCTGGGTGAGGGGATAGGGAGGGGCTCTGTAGGGGGGCAGGGCTCTTGTAAAGGGAGCAAGGGCTCTGTGTGTGGAGGAGGGATGCTGAGCATTCTTCGGGGATGGGACTCAGAGATGGGGGTTCTGTGAGAGGATGGGGATTCTGGCCAGGGGCTCAGTTAAGGGCCTGGGTTTGTAAGGAGAATCGGGACTCAGGAAGGAGAACGCGGACTCAGTGAGGGGAGCAATGGCCAAACAGATGGGCAGGGGCTCTGGAGGGGTCGGGGGCTCTGTAAGGGAATGGGGCTCAGACAGTAATGCTGGCTTATGAAGGGATGGAGCTGAGTGAGGAGAATGGAGGGCCCCTGCGTAGAACGGTTGTTTTCAGAATTAAATTGGGCCATCCTCCTCCTTCCCATTACCCAGGTGCCCTACTGTGGCCTGGCCCCAGGCTTGTCTGCCTTGGCCCACACAGCCCCCTTCACCAAAGGTCCCCTTGCCCTGGTTCTCTGGCTCTCCACTCACCCATCCCCACCTCTTTTCAAGGCCAAGCTCTGAGTCCTTTTCCACTAACCCCTCCATAAATGCCCCAGTCTGCACCTATTCTACTCTGTCACCCCTATAGATTTTGGTCTCCCCTACAGTCAAACACAAGGAGCCCTTGTGGTGCAGTGGTTAAGCTCTTGGCTGCTAACTGAAAGGTCGACAGTTTGAACCCACCAGCTGCTCTGTGGGAGAAAGATATGCTAGTACTTTTGACACCTGTAATGTTTGCGCTTGACTACTAACCTAAAGGTTGGCAGTATGAACCCAACAGTGGTGCCATGGAAGACAGGCCTGGAAATCAGCTTCTGTAATAGATTACAGCCAAGAAAACCCTATGGAGCAGTTCACCACGAGTCAGAATTGACTCAATAGCAATGGGTTTGGTTTTGGTTTTTTAATGATCAATAAAGTTTTCCCTCATTGAGTTATCCTCAATTCCTCCAGATTCAAGTTCAGCCAATTTACTCTGCTCCGTCCTGGAAATAGAGTACAGCCGATCTGCAGGCCTCCTTCTCTCAGTGCCTTCATAGCTTTGGAGACATAAAAGGCTCTTCTCAAATTTCTCTCTTCTAAGTAAAATAATTCCTATCCCTTCTATTTGCTTTTCTAATCATTATTAGACATCTCCAAATGTTTGTGGTAAGATTTTATCAGAGGCTGGCACATAGTAGGTGCTCCAGAAATACATCTTGGATGGTTGGATGGATGAATTGATGGATTCTTGGATGAATGAGAGATAAGATGGATGGGTAGTGAGAAGATGAGAAGGTGAGTGGTGCATGTGTTTGTGGATGATCGGATGGATGGATAGATTGATGAGTTGATCAGTGGTTGGCTGGCTTAGTGTACTGGATGGATGAATAATCTCAGTCAACATCTCATCTTTTCCCCAGATCCCCCAGGTTTAGACTCCCCTAGTTTGGTTATTGCACCCCAGGTCTTCCAGACACCCAGGCTTGAAACCTTGTCATATATCCCCCTCCCTCATCTCCTACAGCCAACCAGCTCCAAGTCCTGTTGATCCTATCTCCTTGGTGCCTTCTC